CGGTGCGCGCCCAGGATCCGAACCCGGGCCGCCAGTAGCGGAGCGCGCGCACTTAACTGCTAAGCCACGGGGCCAGCCCAGAATATATGGTCTTAATCAGATTTTTAAAGAGCTTTATGTCCAATAGAAGATTAAGAACCACTAAGTAGAAAGTATTAGCCTGATTTTTGGCTTCCTGAAGGCTTTTTGTTTCAAATACTCTTGGCCAGATTGCCTTCAAAAGTTTTTTTTTCCCCTTGAATTTCTGATATTTAAAAGAAAGGGATATAGATTTCTGTGAGAAGGTTTATCTATATACAAGGAAAATGAATTATCTTGAATTGTAAGCCCTCAAGTATCTCTTGGTAAGGAGATATGGAGATGCCTTAAGAAAACTTCTAGCACAAGTGATGTAATAGAAACTGAGTAGGATAATAGGGCTATTGGAAAGGAATCTCAGACATGCAATTCTCTGAGACAAGTAGGGGCTTTCAGACAGATTGCAGGCACAAAGAACAGCACTGTTTATACACATACAGTGTGTGCTGGACTGGTCTGCTGAGGAAGGTCTCCCTAGCCTGGCCCAGCCTGTCTCCTACCCCATCCTCCAGCAAAGCTGCATTCTGGTGAAATGATCTCAATGTCATAGATTCCACATTTTACTTCACTGCAGGAAAAACATGCCTTGTTGTTTGGGATACTTGGTGTGCATTAGAAATTCTAGAAAGCATGTGGTAGATAAAGGCATTTATTACCAAAGAGAGTTGTCATCTTCATACTCCTTGCTACTGAAAAAGCAGTTTTTAAATAACACCCGTTTTGGGCCAGCCCCGTGGCTTAGCGGTTAAGTGCGCGCGCTCCGCTACTGGCGGCCCAGGTTCACATCCCGGGCGCGCACCGACACACCACTTCTCCGGCCATGCTGAGGCCGCGTCCCACATACAGCAACTAGAAGGATGTGCAGCTATGACATACAACTATCCACTGGGGCTTTGGGGAAAAAAAAGGAGGAGGATTGGCACTAGATGTTAGCTCAGAGCCGGTCTTCCTCAGCAAAAAGAGGAGCATTAGCATGGATGTTAGCTCAGGGCTAATCTGCCTCACAAAAATAAATAAATAAATAAATAATACACGTTTTATTTTCAAATTCACCATTGCCACACTGTCTGCTTTTTACCGCCAGTTTGAAGTACTCTTTGCCCAGCTCCTGCCTCCTGACGGGCAGCACCAGCTCCACAGGCGGTGGGGAGAGGAAGCTAGTCCAAAGGCACTGTGGTTCAAGCAGGTGTTCATATGCCTGTGCTCATGCTTTGAAAGTGCATGCTTCAATCAAATCAAATTTGTGAGATCCTTGATATTTAGAGGTATTATGCTGCATTTTGATAAGCTAACACATTCACATTTTACTCAGTTGAGGTATCAATAGTAAGGAAATAAAATTTCTTCTCTTTGAAAAACAAAATGTTTAATTTATCTGCCTAAGGCCCTTTGTTTTGTTTTCCATGACTGTTTCCTCTGACTTTTTCTGCAAATATAACTACTGTGGATGATAAGTCACCGTGGGACAGGCCTCATTTAAAAATTATATTGACACACAACTCCTTCAGAGCCCCTGCCTAGTGAGATTTTTTTTGGTGAGGAAGATTGGCCCTGAGCTAACATCTATTGCCAATCCTCCTCTTTTTGCTGAGCGAGATTGGCCCTGGGCTAACATCCGTGCCCATCTTCCTCTACTTTATATGTGGGACGCCTGCCACAGCATGGCTTGATAAGCAGTGTGTAAGTCCGCACCCAGGATCTGAACCTACGAACCCGGGGCTGCCGAAGTGGAGCAGGTGAACTTAACCGTTATGCCACTGGGCTGGCCCCTATATCCAGATTCTTTAATAGTTGAGACATAGAATAACCATCTTAACAATTAAATAGCACTTTACAAGGCACATTTAGGTACTCATCAAAATGCAGTTGTGGAATTGCCAATTAGCCTCTACCTGAGAAAAAATTTAAATTGCCATCAAATTGTCTTAAATGTTTCCTGTAGAAAAACTATCTTCAAAATTTAGAATATAGTATTTTGTAACATGCCCTAAAGTTTATATGTAACAGAATACAAAATTATAGTTGCACATTGGAGTAGCCGCTCGTCTTCTGGAGTAGTTTTCCCACTTTTGCATCTTAACCTGAAATGTAAGTTGATTAGACTAGGCATACATTGAGTTTCTTTTGTGTTTGCCATCTAAGTTGTGGACCTAATTTTGAATTGAATATCCATCTGCACTCTCGCGAGTCTCTTTAATTGTATGAGTGAAGGAAAGACTGTTCCTCAGTTTCACAATCTATACCGTTGATTATTAAAACTTTTACTTATTTCACCAGAATATGCTTTTTGGGGTGTAAAGTAAAAAAACCTATTCAGGGGCTGGCCAGGTGGCATAGTGGTTAAGTTCACGTGCTCTGCTTCGGCGGCCTGGGATTTGTGGGTGTGGATCCCAGGCGTGGACCTACACAGTGCTCATCAAGGCGTGCTGTGGTGGCATCCCACATACAAAATAGTGGAAGATGGGCACAGATGTTAGCTCATGGACAATCTTCCTGACAGGAAAAAAAAAAAAAAACCTATTCAATGAGAAACGCTCTGAACATATTTTATCTTCTTTGGCATTTGATAGTCGAAGGTCTAAGTAGATGCTGTAATAACATGAAGCTTCACTAAGGGGGTGTCAGGCCCTTCCCATTACTGCTTTCTCATTTCCTGCTTTCTGTTGAAAGTTTGTCAGCTGTCCAGCCATCAGTTCTCTCCCCTTTTCCCACCCGTCCTCTACATCTTACATTAATGCACTTTTGTGTTAGGCCCCAGACGTTCCACAGCTACCTGGAGGACATCATCAACTACCGCTGGGAGCTTGAAGAAGGGAAACCCAATCCTCTGAGAGAAGCCAGTTTCCAGGAGCTGCCTCTCCGTACTCGTGTGGAGATCCTGCACCGCCTCTGTGATTATCGGTTGGATGCGGATGACGTCTTCGATCTTCTCAAGGTGCTTAACGGACGAGCCCTTTCCCCAGAGCAAAAGGAGCCAGCAATCAGGATGTAAAACCTGAAATACTGAGAGAAGCCAGAGTTGAGCTTGTGTTACTAGTCTTGGGACTCTTGATTGACAGTCACAGTGGATACAAAACCATGACCGCTATGGCCAAGGGAATCCAGGCCATGCATCTCTATGAGTATATGTTATTTTGGTTGAATTCCTAGTTTGGTTTTGTCTTCCTTTACATTTGCTGAATTCCAGCAGACATAGGAACAGTCAGAGGCACGTCTTTGTTCTTCCTTGCATCAGCCAAAATTGCAACTAAATTAGCCACTGAATTTTATTTCCCAACATCTAAAATTGGGTTTAGCATACTGAAATACTTATTGAAAATGCTAAGAACTTTAACCCCATATATGCAAGTGAAGTTCATCCCTGCTATACACATACATACACATTACAAAAAATGTGTTGGAGAAGGAAGGTGTAAATCTCTCTTCCCTCCCTCTAATATTCTATTGTCGTTATCTATTTGAGAAGTCTCTCTCAGAGGGAGGGTGTACCCAGGGCTATTGCTTTTCACTCATAGTGAGGTCAGTTTCTAATCCTGTTCAGTCAGAAATGATTAAATGTGTTGATGACTTATTTCAGCCCTGTTCATGGACATGGTATAAAAATCGTTGTGCAGTTTAGCACCGTCTTTGCTGAGCACTCAAGGACTTCAGTAGTAGCAGGAAGGCCGATGCAGGGCATACCCTGGGGTAAATTGGGAGCCGTGTTGCTGGATCTCAGCTGGTATGAGAGGTTGCTGTAGGTTATGATGGAGCTACAACAGAGGATCACGTGGGACAAAGCTTCACAACATCAGATTCCACTCTGTTGTAACTGTCTTCCCTTTTATGGATGCACACATAAAATAACAATAAGTCCAAACCAAATATATAATACGTTCGTCAAAATTCCTTTTGGTGCTTTGGTAAAATGGGGGCAATGAGGGGGATGGGAAGCATTTGAAATATTTGCATATCCTCTTCTTCAAAGAAGGTACTACCTTCTCATTCTGTCTGTGTTCCGTGTGCCCTGAATGAAAATTACATAAGATGCTAGGGCATTTTTTAAATATGAGGTATATCTGAGTATAAATTTTGAATCCTCATTTTAGTTTTTCCTTTTTTGTTCCACATTTCCCCAAACCTTTTCCCTTTTTTTCTACCTAGGGTCTGGATGCAGACAGTCTCCGCGTGGAACCATTGGGTGAGGACAATTCCGGGGCACTCTATTGGTATTTCTATGGAACGCGAATGTACAAGGAGGACCCAGTACAAGGAAGATCCAGCGGAGAGCTCTCTTTGAGCAGGTACACTCTGGAAGGCCAGGGCTCTGACAGCTACTGGACCAAAATGTCATTAAAATTAAATGTATCAGAATTCTGTGGCAAATTTTCTTATGAAGGAATTCCCCATAACAGCATACCACAAAGAGATGCAAGGAGTTATTTCATACGGAAGTTAAAAGGGATCAATCTGTGTCCTCTGCTACCAGAATGGTGAAAGGTGGTGGTGTTTGATAGGGCATTCTTGAGGCGTGTGCTTTGCTTCCCATAGACTTCTCTATACCATGCTCTTCTCAGCAGGACAGGCATTTCACTGCAACAGCTTTCCTCTCTCATAGTCAAGTCTCGAGAACTTGTTTCTGCTAGAATTGATGATCTACCCCATCAGTACAGGACCAGAAGGACCTTAAAGAATGCCTGAAACGTAAGCCTTACTAAGTGAGGAAGAGACCGCCTTTCCATAGCATCCCAGAATGTTGCTACCAGCTTGTTTTATTTAGACTTTGTTATTGCTGGGAGCAGTGCTCGCTATTAAGAAAGTATTAGGTCTGACTCAGATTTTCATACTATAGAATGTCAGTTTTCCTTGGTCCCACATTCTAATAATGGAAGACAGGAAGTCACCCTGTTCTCTCCCTGTGACTGCTGCATTTTGTCCTTTTTAGTAACCTCATGACCAGAAAAACTGTAATTACTGACCTAAAAATCATATGATCAATCCTATGACAGAACATTTCTATTTAATATACTATTTGTTAGGGAAAGTGAAGGACAAAAGAATGTCTCAGGTGTTCCTGGGAAAACAGGAAAAAGAAGAGGAAGACCCCCAAAACGGAAGAAACTCCAGGAAGAGATTACAGTGAGGTAAGAAAATCTCGTTAGTCTGTGGTGGTCCTAGACCCTCATGCTGGGAGGGACCTTCATTTCACTTGTTCTTCATCCTTGATTTTCACTCGCGCCATGGGAAGGACGTGGGACTTAATTTATGGAGATCTCAATCAGACCCCTCATGAAATGACCATGTGTGCACTAGGAATCAGGAAGCCCTAGCTGCACGACTTGCAGCAAGCTACCTCCCCTCTCTAAGCCTGTTCTTTTATTGGACAGTGGGGGCACTAATAGTAATGAGGATTCAATTGAACAAGACAGTGAATGTGACAGGGTAACGAACTGAAAACAATGCATGGCCCATAGTAAGTGCCCACTATGTATTAACTTTTAAAATTTGTTATGCCACACATTTTTCCATAGGAGCCTGGAGCAAGTTAATTCTATGATTAAGGTTTGACTAATAATCAGCACTTTAATAGAATTATATATCATACATGAGTTTAGGAGTTAATTGTTTCCTGTTATGGAGATTTTAGTAGCAAACATGCATTATTTTGTTTAGAATACAATTTCCTACAATAAAGAAAAGGTAAGATCTTAAACATTTTTATAGTCTTTATTTTATATTTAATTTTAGCAAAGAGATTCTGTTACATTGGGGAAGTTTTATTTTATACGTCATTATCTTTTAGGAAATTCTGCCATCAGACCTATCATTATCCATCTATGGAAGTTAGGTCATATTCTTAAAAATTCTAACAACACAGGAGAAACTGCTTCTTCCTTCTAAATTTTAGAACTACTAAATAATCTAAATGCTTAAAGTAGACCAAATTTCATTCTGTTGCTTATTAACCACTAAGAAGTATTTCTAGGGATCAGATTATGAATAAATCAATCAGAATTTGATATTTTTTACACATAAAAATCAGTGTTCTACTTAACTTCCCAGAACTGTGACTACAGATTGCAACTTTCCTCCTACCAGTGTTTGTGAGAAATGTCCTCTAAGCATGTTCTGTACACATGACCCCTGTTTCTGGATCTTGTTAGCAATCCACACCTCCTCCTATATTCAGAAAGCTGTTTTATGCTTATCTCCATTTCCCTCTAGTACCAACAATTCAAGTGTTGGGAATATAGAATCATTTAAGCAAGCATACATGGACTTGTGCTACCCTCTACTGGTGGTTTTATTCTTTAGAGTTCTGTATCCAATACGTTATGTAAATTTTTTTTTGTTTTTTTTGGTGAGGAAGATTGGCCCTGAGCTAACATCTGTGCCCATCTTCCTCTATTTTGTATGTGGGACATTTCCACAGCATGGCTTGATGAGCGGTGTGTCGGTCTGCGCCCACGATTTGAACCTGTGAACCCTGGGCCACTGAAGCAGAGTGCACCAATTTAACCACTATGCCACCGGGCTGGCCCCTGTAAATAGTTTTGAATTAAATAAAACTTAAAACTTAGTTCCTCAGTCACACCAGCCACATTTCAAGCACTCAGTAGCCACATGTGGCTTGTGTCTACCATATCGGACAGCAGCAATATAGAAATTTTCATTCTCACAGAAAGTTCTATGGAAGAGTACTGCTTTAGATAGTTGAAAACAAACCAAAAAGAAAAGTCCACAGAGAATGTCCTGTACAACTCAAGAATACAAATGACAATGATACTGAAGCTATTGTGTGAGCACTTTGTATTTTATAATTTAATCCCAACATCCCTGTAAAGTAGGCATTATTAATAGCCCCATTTTAGAGGAAAGTTAATTAACTTTCCCGAGGTCATGTGGTAAGTGGCAAGCCTTGAGTAGAGGCAGTCTGACTTCAGAACCTATGTTCTTACCCTCTACTTTATATGAGGTTAAATTAAATATGCCTTATCGTCAGTGCAGCCCTGAATCAGAGAGAAGGACATTGGAATCCCTACTGTTCTTTTTTTCTTGGCATTTAACTATTAAAACTTAATTCTTCTGTTTGATTACAAAAAAATGTTTTCAAAGTTAATATTTTCCTATGCATTGATGTCACCCTAACATTGGGTTCCTATATGGTGTTTCTTCCCTCTATAACCAACACACCTACATCCTGGTGTTTGTTTATTCAGAAGAGTTACTCCTCCCCTAACCTTACCCCCCTGACACACACACACACACACACACACTCTCTCTCTCTCCTTGTGTTAAGTTAATTCGGTGTACCTTATAGGGGAAGCACAGAACAATTTTGGACATGTCTTTGTTTTAATTGGTGCCTCCTTTTCCTGTGTTTCAGTGAAAAGCAGGAAGAAAACTCCTTGGTGTCTGAGCCACAGACAAGAAATGGTAATTACCTTTGCTGGAGTTTAGAAAGTATTAAGTACACGTGGTCGATTTATATTATGATGGTGACTCTCTCATTTTCCAGAGTCATACAAATCAGTTAAGATTATTCCAGTGGCCTTCTAACTAGCCTCCTTCCCCTTCAGTTCTCTCTTCCTCACTCTTATCCTGTGCCCATCTCTCCATCTGACGGGGGTAACTACAGGTAAGGACCAGGTCTTTTCACTTGTGCCCTGTTACCTGGGCACAGTGTAATAGACACCCAAACAGTTGGAAGAGTGAGCAACTTCTCAAAGAGCTATCTTTTTAATGTAAAATGCTTTACTACATAAGGGGGTATACCAGTTTCCTACCTAGATTTCATTTCTCTAATCCAAATTGCATCAGTTTGGTGGGAAATATCAGTTTCCATCATTTCAATGTAAATGAAACAAGGAAGACTCTGCACAAGCTCAAATCAAAATCATTTGCATAGAAAGTAACTACATTTAATCACTTCTAGGATATTAAAATCTATCTTATGAACTTCACAAAAGTTATATTCGTATTGCCTGTAGGCATTCTTAACTTTTAGTTGTAAACAGTGAGAGTAACAGAAAAATTAAAAGTATACATTATCAACCTTAAAATTAAAAAAGTAATAGGTCTCCCTTTTTTCTGATTCCCTGGTTTTGATCATGACCTAGGGTAAAAATGAAATTGAGAATAAATAGGAAAAATGTTCCTAGTGGGATCTATTTACTGAACCCGTCCTTTTCTTTTCTAGGGTCCCAAGGGCCAGGTCAAGGCACTTGGTGGCTCCTGTGCCAAACAGAAGAAGAATGGAGACAGGTCACAGAGAGTTTTCGCGAGAGGACCTCCCTTCGAGAACGGCAGCTCTATAAGCTCCTCAGTGAGGACTTCCTGCCTGAGATATGCAACATGATTGCCCAGAAGGTATGCAAACAGTGACTCCTCCCTCTGTATGAGGTATCAAACTGCATTACAGAAGGATTATTCATTAGAGTTTTTGAATGCATTTTGCCCTCTCCTCAAAGTGGTACAGCCTCTATCCTCTCTTATCTGGAGTGTTAAAATGGGACCTCGTGCCACCCACTCTCCTTCACTGGGGACGTATAATTTAATTCTCCTTACCCCAAGAAGTCCTCAGTGACCCCCCCGCCCCCAATACCACAAGGGCTTTTCACAATCTGGAACCGACTTCCCTTCTCCTGTAACAATCCTCGGGAGCCGTTTCCTGAGCCCCCAGTGTGTCTCATAGCACCCTGTGCATACCTCTGTATATACACTGCTGCTTTTCTAAGTCATCTTCTTACGGTCTGTCTCTCTCCCACTAAACAGCAAGCTCTGAAGAGTCTGTAGCTCCAGTGCCAGCTCTTTTTCCAACTCTACCTGAGCTCTATGTGCCACCTTCTCCAGCTTCAGGGAAATTTATAGTTTCATAAACCGTGCATCCTATATTTTCATGCATATACACCCTAATTCGTGACTTTTTCAAACATCTTTCCCCTCTACTCCCCCCCCCCCCCACATTCAAATACTGCTCTTTCAAAAGCCCCATTAAAAGGTATTGTCTCCATGAGCTACCCTCTGTTTCTCCCAGTCTTAGGATTTTCTTCCCTAACATGTTTCCTCATCCCGTACTTAATTTCACTGGGAGTAGTTCAAGCTTCTTCAGATTAGAGACCGTATCTTACTCATCATTTTAACCTCCACAACACCTGTGTGATGCCTTTTCTCTCTGGTGGATGCTCAATAATCATTCAGTTGGCTTATTTCATTTCATGATTCTGATACTTCTGATTGTTAATACATGTTAATAGAAGACAGAAAAATTTGACCACCTGCCAATGAAATCTGAAGAGAAAGTATTTGTAAATTATTGCTGTAGTACCTCCAGGGAAGTCCAAAATGACTTCACAACTTAATTTGTTGTGAATCTAGTGATACTTCTAACCATTAAGCAGGTTAATGCTTTAGGGAAAATTCTAGAAACTCACCTTTCTCTAATAGCAAAAACTTATAAATAGTGCTTCAAGAATTACCTTTTCATGAATGAGCAAAAACTTCTGCATTTCTCTATCAATATACTTAATTCTTTATACTATAATTATATAGTGATCTGCAGCTGACTGTTACACTTTTTCTGAGAATTGAAATACATAATCTGTTTAAAGTAACTGTTTTATAGAGATGGTTTTATAATTTTACGTACCCTTGTATATGACTTTATTGATATGAGTAATGATGACATTAAATCATCTATAAGGTGTATACCTAATTTACTTAAACCTTTTTTTATAATTTCTGCTTTTTTACTCCAATTTTCAACCTAAGATATTTTTGGATAGGAGAACTAAGGGAAAAATCTTACAAGCATAAAACTGATGGTTTTGATGCAAAAAACTTTGAGTTGATTCTTTGCAAGAGAAGAAAAAATTAAGAGAAAATTTAAATATGATTCTCAAGAACCATGAAATTATATGGGGCCGGCCCGGTGGCGCAAGCGGTTAAGTGCGCATGCTCTGCTGCAGCAGCCCTGGGTTCACTGGTTTGGATCCCGAGCGTGCACCGACACACCGCTTGTCAGGCCATGCTGTGGCAGCGTCCCATATAAAGTGGAGGAAGATGGGCATGGATGTTAGCCCAGAGCCAGTCTTCCTCAGCAAAAAGAGGAGGATTGGCAGATGTTAGCTCAGGGCCGATCTTCCTCACAAAAAAAAAAAAAAAAGAACCATGAAATTATAAATCAAAAAGGAAATAATAGATTTGATATTTTGAAAACTGTACAGTGCTCTAAATTTGCAAACCTCAGTGAAATGGGGTGTTGATTACAAAAATAAGAGAATCTAAATTGTGCAATAGAAAACCTAAGTAGGCAAGTCATTAGGGAAGAAGAGTTTTCACAAAAGAATCCCATCCAAAGCTCCAGCATTCTTTGGATTTTTTCCCAGGTAAAATTTTCTAAACCTTTAAGAAAAGGTAATCTCCAAACATTTCAAAAATGAAGAAAAAAATAGGTAGCTACTCTGTTCATTTAGGTATAGATGTCTTAGATCCCTATTCCTGATAAAATTAAACACACTCTTCATTCAGTAATATAGATGCCAAGTCCTTCATACTAACAAGTAAAAACCATCTCTTCACCTAAAGAATAACTACTCATAACCCATCAGGGTTAAGCCTAAGTCTGTAATACTGGTGATATTGTTTTGGCAGTCTTGTCCAGTGTGACATAACAAAAAAGAAGAGTAAGAGGCAAAATTTTAGAATGTTTTGCCTGGAGTGGTATAAATCCACTTATAAAGTCTATTAATTAGAACTTAGTAATAGTGCTGGGTGACTAGACTTCCTACATCCAGATCACCTGACATGCTTATTAAAAGCTCAGATTCCTCCTGCCCATGCCCCATCCCCAGTCCCCCTCAGGGTGTTAGAGGTGTGGTATCTGTTAATCTGCAGGCGTAGAAGCTCTTCAGATGACTCTTGTGCATCCTCAGTTTCAGTATCACTGAAAATAAACCCATTTACAGTAGCAACAAAACAAATTTTGCTGTGAGCCTAACTAGAGTTGTGTGTCATTGATAAGAAAGAAGTTACACAACTATTAGTAGACAATATATTTTTAAAGTCTCATGTAAATATGTTAAGACTCCCCTATCTTGGGCCACAGTGGCACAAGCGGTTAAGTGCGTGCGCTCCGCTGTGGCAGCCCAGGGTTCACCGGTTCGGATCCCGGGCACACCAATGCACTGCTTGTCAAGCCATGCTGTGGCAGCGTCCCATATAAAGTAGAGGAAGATGGGCATAGATGTTAGCTCAGGGCTGATCTTCCTCACCAAAAAAAAAAAAAAAAAAAAAAGACTTCTCTATCTGGAAGGAAAGAGTAAGTTTACTTGCCAGTATTCACCAAGGTAAATTGGGATTTATTATAACTTTAGCCAAATCCCAGCATAATAAAACCAGCATAATAAAAATTTTCCTCCACAATAGCAGGTGAATGTAAATATAAATATTATAAGGTGGGAGCTGTAGGATGACTAGCCCTACCATTATCATCACACAGATCAGTGTATTAGACACATCTCCAGGGGCCTTCATTTAATAGACCAGCTATCGTAAATGATTTGTTCAAGGCAATACACACGTATCAAATCTTCACATTCTGCTGAACTTGACATTCAGTAGTTGAGTTACGTATTCATCAAAGGTTAGTTGTAATATTTTTACAAACCTGTTGATGTCCGTTATAACCTGTTACTGAATTTATACAATTAAATATTATGAAACCAATAAAATATGAGCATACAAATTTCTATAAAGGGGCCAGCCCAGTGGTGTAGTGGTTAAGTTTGCACGCTCCGCTTCAGCAGCCTGGGGTTCACGGGTTCGGATCCCCGCCGCGGACCTACGGGCCACTTATCAAGGCATGCTGTGGCAGGCATCCCACGTATAAAGTAGAGGAAGATGGGCACAGATGTTAGCCCAGGGCCAATCTTCCTCAGCAAAAAGAGGAGGATTGGCAACAGATGTTAGCTCAGGGCTGATCTTGCTCAAAAACAAAACAAAAAAATTTCTATAAAAAGTTTCTGGGCCAGCCCGTGGCTTAGCAGTTAAATGCGCGCGCTACGCTGCTGGCGGCCTGGGTTCGGATCCCGCATGTGCACCGACGCACTGCTTCTCCGGCCGTGCTGAAGCCACATCCCACATACAGCAGCTAGAAGGATGTGCAGCTGTGACGTACAACAATCTACTGGGGCTTTGGGGGGAAAAAATAAATAAAATCTTAATGTCTCTCTCAAAAAAAAAAGTTTCTATTAAAAAATTGATTAGGGGCCGGCCCCATGGTGTAGCAGTTAAGTGCGTGTGCTCTGCTGCTGGTTCAGATCCCAAGCGTGTACCGATGCACCACTTGTCAGGCCACGCTGTAGCAGCGTCCCACATAAAGTGGAGGAAGATGGGCACGGATGTTAGCTCAGGACCAGTCTTCCTCAGCAAAAAGAGGAGGATTGGCTAATCTTCCTCACCAAAAAAAAAAATTCATTAAAGATGAGTTGCTTCTAATAAGTTGGCTGTCCAATTAGGGTAAAACAGTAAAGACTAGATGGAAAAAAATTATTAAAATCTTAAGGTTTCTGTATTTGGATTACAAGTGTTCTGAACATCTCGCTTTCACTTAAAAAAAAACAGAACTAAAGGGAAAAATGAAGGTTTAAGAAGGTGATTTATATGAAAGAATCTCAGGAAACCCCTTTTGATGGGGCCCTGCTCATGCAATTGGTGAATGGCAGTACATTTATACATTCAGTTAAAAGAAGTGCTTGAAATAAATACATTTTCTAAATCCCTTGTGTTAGCTGTGTTAACCTACCACTACCTGTCCTAATTGTCTTGGCCAAAAGGAGTTTGCTCTAGTTATGAAAAACACCTGTGATTAAAATGTGAAATTGAGGCATATATCAGTAAAACAGAATGTGATGCTCACCTGTGAAAATGTAGTATGTAAAGTAGGCACAGACCCCTGGGATGGTGGGGAAGGGTAATGTGGTACAGTGGGAGTCATGAGCTTTCCTTTGAGCTTCTTTGAATTATAGTGCTGCCCTTTTCTTACCAACCCCTTGGATAAGTTACTTGATATCTCTGAATTTCACTTTTCTTATTACTAAAACAAAATGCTATAACTTCACAGAAGTTTTTGTGGGAATGAAACAAAAGGACCCATGTCATCGTAGTACCTAGCATAGTAATTAGTAAGTAGGCACTTAGTCCCTTCCATTGTTTATGGTAGTGGATAATGATGGGAAATTTTGATAGAAAACCAAGTCCACATATCTTACCAAAATAAATGCAAGTCAGAAGAGAGGTAAAGCAGATAGGATAAAGTATGAAGGTATGATAACCCTGTAAACTTTGAAATAATAAGAGAATCAGAAGGTAAGGCCTGCTTTAACCATATAAAGTTAAACTTTTTTGGTAAGATTTAAATAAAAGGGGATGTAGATTAGTAAAAGTATTTTTCCTAATGTTACAGACAATAGTATTTAGCTTATAAACATTAGGTCTTTAACAAATACATTGACCAAGGGTATAGATAATTCACACCAAAAATGTTAGTAAAGTATGGAGGGAAACGAGTTCACCTTCTGCATCAGGAACACCAGTTTCCTTGATAGTAACTTTTATCTGATTTGGCAAAGTTAGAGTCAAACTGGTATTGGCCTGTTGCTACTGGCAGGTAAACTGGCGTGATCTCTTTTAAAGGAAGTTCCATGGTAAGTTTTTATGTTTTTTTTAAAGTTTAAGAGCTCTTCCTGTTGGGGTCTTGAAGCTTATAAAGGAGTTGGTCATGGGCATATTGGAGGAAACTGCTGGGGTAGCTTTTGGGAAAAGGAGTGCCATGACACCCCTGACAGTTGGGGTTGCATTTGCACTGAGGCCTAGTCATTCTCATAACAGAAAAGCTTTCTGGTGCTTCGGTCTCATTAAATCTACCACCGTTGTTTTGGGGTAGGTTTAAGTTGTGTAAACCGCCCCTATTGTCGTTGAGTTTTTTCATTCTTTGTTGCTTTACCTTGTTCATTCTTCGAGTCTCAAGATTTTCGATTAAGTGATGCCAGAACCAAACCTGTATAATGCTGATACTGATACTGAAGTCACAGAAATTACTCATCTTAACTGCAAGGCCCTTGCTTACCACCTCTTAATAGTAGGTTACAACGGGGAAGCTATGGGGCTCACTCGGCAAAAACTCTAAAATTTACATTGGCCTTCAAAGTAATTAACCTAGCTTCAGATAGTTCTCAAAACTCCTTCTTTGAAATTTCCCATAGCAGTCGCTTTCCAGCCTCTTCAATTTTCTCAGGGCTCTAATCTCTCAGGCATGCTCTCTGATTCCTGGCTGTGAGTGAGTCTTTCCCCTGCTCCATTTTACTCCTTTGGTTCCCAGCCTGGGCAGCTCCTCTCACTTCTCACTGCTGCCACTGAACTGCCTTGACTGGGAGCTCTACCGCCAGCTGCTCAGAATACCCTTGTTTAGAGCCATTACTGTCAACTAAAGGTGATCCAACATGGCTTGCTCTTAATAATTTGAAACAAAACATTTTTTTTAAATGTTTAAACAGTTAAGGGTGTTGCCAGTGATAAAGATTGACAAAGGGGACAGTTGGTGTCTATAAGTTGTTCTGGTTTTGTTTTTTTAAGAGAATAAACTGGCTTGGTACCTTGTGGAGTTGAATAGTTGTTTTTACTGACTGTCCTAAGGATACCTTTGGCCCTCATTTAGGTAAAGCCATCCCCTGTGTGCCTTAAAGGCCACTCTTCTACTAGCAGCAGCAGCAGCAGCAGTAGCTGAGAACACCCTAATCTATCTTTTCCTTACTTCTAACTATAGGGAAAGCGTCCACAGCGCGCAAAGGCAGAGTTGCAACCTAGGTGGATGTCTGACCACCTGTCCATCAAATCCCTCAAGCGAGAGGTGAGTGTGTGAGAGTAGAGAGGAGTTTTAAGTATTCAAAAGGGATTGTTCCGTTTTATTTTGTGTACTCCTTTTATTCCTAATTCTTTATTTACCTTTACCTCATTTATTAAAATCTCACACCTTTATGGAGCATTCTTATATGTAAGATGCATTTCTAGAAAGAGAAGGAATTATAAAAATAAGACATGAGTTCGAACTCTTGGATCTTACGATCTCTTGGGAGAGTAAGCACATCATATTTAATCTAATATAGATGAGAATGATAAGTACTATAATAGATATATATGTAATAGAAGTTCATGAATGCAAAGATGCAAGGAATTAGAGCTGGGCAAAGCAGGGAGAGTTGGGACAGGCGGAGCTATATTTCACCTGAACCTGACAGGCTAGCTAAGATTTTGATGGTGGAGAGTGGGGGTGGAGGGAGGAATATGCAGGAGTTATGCCAACAAAAGCCCAAAGGATAGTGTATACAGTCATGCGCCACATAACGCCATTTCTGTCAAGGACAGACTGGATGTACGATGGTGGTCCCCTGAGATTAGTACCATACAGCCTAGGTGTGTAGTAGGCTATACCATGTAGTTTTGTGTAAGTACAGTCTGTGATGTTCACACAAGGATGAAATCGCCTGATGATGCATTTCTCAGAACGTATCCTCATTGTTAAACTGCGCATGACTGTAATGTGGTCAAAGAACAGTGTGTATTTGGATGTAGCTGGCATGTAAGATACACTGTAATATATAGTGGAAGAAAAGACTGGAATGATCAGGTGTTGGAGTCCCCTGACTATCATGCTTATATCTTCCATAGGCAGGCAGTAGTAAGGGAGGTTATGTCATTCAGTCTTTGTTTTAGGAAGATATATCTCTGGTCACAACATGATAAATGTTTTTGTAAGGAAAAACTAGAAGGTAAGAAATCAGTTAGTGAGCAATACTTCCAACAGGAACTAGCAGTAGAATCCCTGCTATTGGAAATGTAGGTCTAGAATAGAGAAGGAGATGACCTTTGGGGGAAAAAACACATTTCATTAGAGAATGGTGTAGGTATAAGGGTCAAGTTGCAAGAAGTTGAGTAGTTAATAAAAGATGGGTTCTTATTGATTATCATGTTATGTCCTTTTGAGAAGTATGACAATGGAAGAAAACAAAGAAATCATGAAAGAGTGAAGAAGAAGCAGGATTGAGGAGAGCTAGTGGCAGGTTCCTTTTTGTTTTTCATTGGAGATTAGCGTGGACATGAAAGATGTCCATGTGAGAAGGAGCATGAATGTAGCCGACTCTCTGGTAAGATGAAGTGCCTACGAGGCAGGCTCACCATGGAGTAGAGTTGCTCATGTTTCTCCTAAGTAAAGACAAACTTTTGAGGGGGCAGGAAAATGTCAGGAGATCACATTGGATGTCCCTCTGTCCTCTGAAGATAGGCAGGGCATCAGGTGGGAGTTGAGATGCAGTGTTCGATGAAGAGAGGCTATTTGGGGCAACAACTAGGTATTAATAAAAGGATTTTCCAAGCAGAGTCCAGGAGCCAACTGTGTTGGTTATTTTCATTTTGTCACATAGTTCAGAGTAGTTAAATGACTTTATCTAGCATCACACTTATAGGAAGGGACAAAATTGATATTTATATTTACTGAGATTTAAAAATTGGCAAGATGGGATTGGAATGAGGTTTAAGGACCCTAGATCGCAGTTGAGAATATATTTGATGATGGAAGTCAAATAGGAAAGTGAAATGAAGGAAGAGGCCAGGAATAAGAGAGAGGCAGTCAAAATGGAAGTGTTGGGTGACTTCTTCCCATTCTGTAAAGGTTGTAGAAGGTACTCTGCGCTCCCCTCACTGCCTGCACCCCTCCAGTACCTCCATCTCTCACTTTCTTCTTTTACCCGAGAAGGTTTTTCTCTGTTGTTTGCTAATCTAACTCTCACGTCCAGGCTCAGTGCTGGCCAGTTCTCATATTCTCTCCAATTTTTAACCATTTAACTCCTTGTAGCATTACGTTTCACTGAATACTAAACAGTTTAGTGGTCACAGAAAGGTTTACCTTGGGAGACAAAAGGTTTGCTCTAGACCATGTCTTTGGCTGGCCTGTTTCAGTGTGGAGCCTTCTTCCTGCCTCGAAGTGATGTTTTCATGGCTTAAATTGAAGTGACAATGTGATAGTACATTACAGAGATCTTGTCATTAACTAAGTGTATTCTGCTCTGAAAAGAGAAAAACTAACGTATAAATTTTTATTTACTTCAGTCTCTTTGGATAACTTTTTTTTCCCATAGATATGTTCTTGCCAGCAAATAAATTGCCCAACGTGGAAATACTTTTGGATTGGCATTTCTATAATGACTGACCCCAATCTCCCCAGTCTCTTCTTTCCCTCGCAATCATTGGTTCTGAAATGGCCTTTGGTAACTGGTATCCAGCCTCAGTTCTCAGATGGTTTTCCAGCTCGTCTTGCCTTGTTGGGTCCTCTCCACCATCTTTATTACCTTGACAGCTAACAACTCCTTGAAAGCTCTCCTTCCCACTCTGTTGCAGCTCTGGGCTGCAGGCCTGAGTGCCCTAGTTTACATTTCAGATTGCACAGCCGTCTGGATACAGACCAAAAGTTCTTCCTTGTTGCAATCAAAAGCTTAGCTTCAAACACTAAAAGTTTCTTCTTTTAGTTATTCTTGACAGTGTTTTTTTTTTTTTCTTTTCTTTCTTTTTTTTTTTTTCCTTCTCTTTCGTTTTAGTTACAAGTAACCATGGAATTGTACAGATTCTGAGTATCTGTTATGGTACCAAATATACTTTTAAAGCATTACAGGCAGGGTTTCTGACCTATATTGGTCACCCAGGAGTCCAATCTTATTGACTCAAAAAGTCTTTTAATTGTGAGTCCTGAGGAAAATGTCAATGGAGGAAGACTGTCTCTCTGAACTCTGGGATTAGGGCTACAGCGGTTATTTTTGTCAGGGGCCTCTGGATGTTGCCATTGCTAGGGAGCTCTTGGTGGTGGTACAGTGTCGTGTGCTGCTGAAGCTGGCAAGGGTGCCAGGGAGTCTAGTGACCTGCCCTTGGGGGAGGGGAGCCCGGAAGGGGAGTCCTGGGCACTGCTTCAACCAGAGATTCTATTTATAGTCCTCTAGAGGATTTCAAAGTGGCTTTTCCAATTAGCTTCTCATTAAAATCCCTCCTTGATTCTAGCAGGCCTCTTCCTGTCTATACAGCAATTAAACACCAACCCCCACCCCATTTGCAACTGCACCCTTTTAAAGAAAGAAAAAATGGCAATACCAAACAGTGTAAGATACTGTTTTTATCTGTTCAGGTTTTTATTGTCTGGTTTTTGTTCATTTGGTGGTACTTGTTCTTCAATGTTCAAACTGTTAAAGTTTAACATTTAAAGTGTCTTCGTGCCCATTAGTGGGGGTGTTTTCATGAGCACTTGCTTTACCCCGGGGTGGTGAGCTGCTGAAAATTAGCACGGAAATTTTAGGACAGACCCTTGGTGCACTACATAGATTTTTTTTTTTTCCAGGTGTGTATGATGCCATTTATATAAAATAATAATTGTTCAGAGTTCACATCAGATGAGAACTCCTGAAATTATAACACATTATGATGAAAGAGAAAGGGGCATGAGAAGGTATCTATCGAAGAAGTGACAAGGCAATACTGCTGAGGTGGGGGGTCTGGAGAAAGTGATCAGAGAACAGGTGGAGTGAAAAGTGGAGAGTGGAGGTGAGGATGGAAACACCAGGAAAGAGGGCCACAGTGGGCAAAGGCAGTCAAGCCAATGCCAATACAGGGTCTTGACCTTCTTTCTTACCCCCTCTACCTCAGTGGACATTCTGGGAGCTTTAAGTTTTTTTGTTTGTTTGTTTATTTTTTGTGAGGAAGATCAGCCCTGCGCTAACATCCATGCCGATCTTCCTCCACTTTATATGGGACACCGCCACAGCATGGCCTGACAAGTGGTGCATCAGTGCACACCTAGGATCGGAACCCCGGGCCGCCAGCAGCAGAGCGCGCACTTAACCTCTAAGCCACAGGGCCGGCCCCTAAGTTTATATTTTTAAGATGCTATAAATTCACGTTACTCAATTATTACATCTTAAGTGCTTAGTGTAAATATTAACGTATTTAAAAAACAACTAGACACATATTGTATGATTCCATTTATGTGAAATATCCAGAGTGAGTGAGTCAATAGAGACAGAAAGCAGATTGGTGGATGCTGGGGGCTGGGGAGTGGGTAGTGGCTGGTTAATGAGTACAGGATTTTCTTTTGGGGTGCTAAAAATGTTTGCAACTTTAATAGTTGCACAATGTTATGAATGTACTAAACGCCACTGAATTGTTCACTTTAAAATGGTTAATGTTATGTGAATTTCACTTCAGTTAAAAAAAGGTACTTATTTGAGGTAATCTTTACGTATCTCTTAAAATGATGTAGGACCTCTGACTTAGCAGTAATCTTTGCATTTGTGATTTTCGCAAGTTTTAAAATTCCTGCTTCATTGTTATCAAAATATCTTCAACTGTAATCAGTTTTTAATACATCACCTTAAAAATCTACAAATTCTAATCTTTTGGTGCTTTAACATTTTAATTTTAGACTGTTAACAGGGATCACATAGAGGGAGTAGAAAGTTAATAAAATTAGATCATTTTAGAACATGTAATACAAGTTGATTTTCTCCAGTTTATTTGGGAAGAGATTGTTCTGAGTCTGAAAGAATTTCTATGCTCTTAAAGAAAATGGGAGATGACATGTAGAAAACTATAGAAGACAGTAATCCCACAGTTCAGGAATCATCACTGTTTGCATTTTTACGTGTTTGCTTCAGGCCATTTATGCATTTATTACAAATTTGAGATCAAATTCAATATTTTCTGACCTGTTTTTTGTTTAACATTGTGAGCATTTTCGTATTACATTAGATATTCCTCAGAAACAGTTTTTAATGATTGCATAGTGATGATTATATAATTTCACCTATTATTAAACATTTAGGGTATTTACAGTTTTTCACTGTTTTAAATATTGTTGACTTAAACCTATTATACAAATATATTGCCTGTCTGTCTCATTTTTAAGATAAAATTACAGAGTGTAATTACTCTGTTTAGGGTTCCTGTTACATATATCCAAATTGTCCTCCTGAAGACCTGTTCCCCATCAGATCGATAAGGTTCATTTTACCACCTCTCTGCGATCACTTTTATCATCTCTAACAATTTTGTAAGCGAAGATGTTATTTTACTTTTCCTTTGATCATTGATGTGGTTTGTCTGTCTTCTGTGTATTCAAGTTGCATTTGTTTGGTGGGTGGGAGGCTACTGTTAAGTGATTTCTAAGACATCTTTACATATGGAGAATAGTAAGTCATTGTCATATTTGTTGCAAAAAGAATTATGTAGATATTCTTAAGATTTATGTAACTAACTATTTTTTCCCTTTGATGCACGAAATGCAGATGACTTTTTGGTGACTTAACGTTTCTGTTCATAGGTCATTGACTCGCATTTCGTTAGTCCTCATTAAAATGCTGATCCTATTTCATATCCCCTCGTACTGGTTGAAGGAAGAATATTTCACATTTTCACCTGCTAACCTTTGTTAGGGAGGGGCAGAATACACACTCATTATCATTATTATATATATGTAAATAACTTATGGTTGTTATATATACCTGTTTTTTCTCTCCTTTTTCATTGTGTCTGACGTATAGAAGACACTACAGTCTTCTCTGATATACAGTCATGCCTCGCTTAACAAAAGGAGTACGTTCTGAGAAATGTGTCATAGGCGATTTCGTCATTGTGTGAACATCACAGAGTGTACTTACACAAATCTAGGTAGTTTAGCCTACTACACACCTAGGCTGTATGCTCCTAATCTATGGGACCACCGTTGTGTATGTGGTCTGTTGTTGACTAAAACGTTGTTATGTGGCACAGGACTGGAATTCCTTTGACAAAGCTTAGTTTTCCTCTATCTTCTCCCTTTCCCCCAGCCTATCAATTGATATCTTAGGAGTATCTCCTTGGAGTCACTGTACAGCTGAAAGGAGCAAAGGCAAATTGTTTTGGTTAGTTAATTGTAGTTTCATCATAAGTTATCAACTGGTAAGTTGATATCAGTTACTTTACTCAACTGAGTAAAGATGTTGCCAGAAAGTTACTCAGCAAGGACCTGGGGGAAGGGTACTTGTAGAATGCAGGAAAGTTGCCCAACTGGCATTTAAGAGGCCATAGCTAGAGATACACTCGTGAGAACTGTCCTGCTTAATGCCAGCATGGGCCGGCCCTGTGGCTTGGTGGTTAAGTGCGCGCGCTGCGATGCTGGTGGCCTGGGTTCGGATCCCGGGTGCGCATCGAGGCACCACTTCTCCGTTCATCCTGAGGCCAAGTCCCACATACAGCAACTAGAAGGATGTGCAGCTACGA